AGGAAGGAAGGAAGGAAGGAAGGAAGGAAGGAAGGAAGGAAGGGGACTTAGACTTATATACTACTTTACAGTGCTTTACAGCCCTCTCTAAGCAGTTTTCCTATTGCCCCCAACAATCTGAGTCCTCATATAACCACCTGGGATGATGGAAGGCTGAGTAAAGGCTTGAGCCTGGTGAAATTCGAACTGCCCAATTGCAGCCAGCCGGCAGTCAGCAGAAGTAGCCTGCAGTACTGCACTCTAACCACTGTGCCACCACAGCTCTTGGTGGTGCAGATGCATGCTTTATTACATCCAAAGGTCAAAACCTGGGTTTCAATTCTAATCCAGGACCTTCGTCACTACAACAAAGTGAGTTTTGGACTGAATGAGAAACACTGGTCCAAAGTCAGTGTGAGATGAGAAGGGACTTGAACCTGGGTCTGAACACCTTGACTGATACAACCTATTTTCTTTTCTAGCCAGGGGAAAGAATCGACTTGTCCTCTTTTGCAACTCAGGTCCAGCAGACTCAAAACATGGCACGCCAGGGGCCTGTTAAGGACATTCATGGGTTCTAGTTCTCTTTCTTTTGGCTTCTGGAGGTTTGCCCCCCTTATTTTATGATCAATAAATATCCAAGCAGGAGCAGTAAAATCCCAATCCAAAGAATTTATACCATTAAGTCTGCTCTTATCTAGGCTGATATAAATAAGAAGGAGGTTGTCAGTCAAATTCTTGGCAGCTGGAGTCTGGCGCTGAGAGTAATGTATTCATGTTACTTCACAAATCACCTTTATAGCTTTGCGTGGAAAGTAAAATGGCGCCTGGTTGCCGTAGAAATCCACGGTAAATAATATGATAGGTCCCGCTGAATCCATTTTAAGAGAGTGCTATTGCGCAATTTATGCTAGGCAATAGATATTGATTAGTAGAACAATTGTTACTTTGAAGAAGAGGAGCAGCTGTTATTTTCAATAGCAGCAAGAATAGGTGCATTTAACAGCTGCTAAAATCCAGGATATGCCAAACTCAGCTATTTTTTATTTATTTGTTTATTTCATCAAGCATGTATTAGATAACATATATAAGAATGCAGCCGCGCGAGCGATTGTGGGTGCACCCAGGTACAC